TAAAAAATACCTGAATTTGTCCAATAGAAACTCTCGTTTGCAACTGTTGGACTAATGATTACACCCTATATCAGCTAGATGCAGGCAATAATGTACAAGGCGGTATTGAATGTGTCACTGTCTGTCATCTCAAATTTGTCTCTCTACCTGTGTGCACCTACGTTGTAATCTTTCATTCATAGGCTAGGTTGTAGCAACCTCATGATGGGTACAGGGAACATTAGAGTATCATGTTGTAGCCTAAACCTATCGATGTTACATTGAACTGGGTGAATGGAATATGAATTAGAGTCATCCAATATGCTGTAATAGAAATAAGGCCATGCTCATGAAAAAAAGAAATGTCCTCCCTCATCTTAAACGGCATCGAACGCCACTGTGTGTAAATGAATTGCAAAGACAGGCAATCCAGCTCATAAAGTTCAACATATATACAGTTCCAGTCAAAAGTTTGGACACACCTACTCATTCAAGGGTTTTTCTTTATTTTTACTATTTTCTACATTGTAGAATAATAGTGAAGACATCAAAACTATGAAATAAAACATATGGAATCATGTAGTAACCAAAAAAGTGTTAAATCAAAATATATTTTATATTTGAGATTCTTCAAATAGCCACCCTTTGCCTTGATGACAGCTTTGCACACTCTTGGCATTCTCTCAACCAGCTTCACCTGGAATGCTTTTCCAACAGTCTTGAAGGAGTTCCCACATATGCTGAGCACTAGATGGCTGCTTTTCCTTCACTCTACGGTCCGACTCATCCCAAACCATCCCAATTGGGTTGAGGTCGGGGGATTGTGGAGGCCAGGTCATCTGATGCAGCACTCCATCACTCTCCTTCTTGGTAAAATAGCCCTTACACAGCCTGGAGGTGTGTTGGGTCATTGTTCTGTTGAAAAACAAATGATAGTCCCACTAAGCCCAAACCAGATGGGATGGCGTATTGCTGCAGAATGCTGTGGTAGCCATGCTGGTTAAGTGTGAATTCTAAATAAATCACAGACGGTGTCACCAACAAAGCACCCCCACACCATAACACCTCCTCCTCCATGCTTTACGGTGGGAACTACACATGCAGAGATCATCCGTTCACCTACACCACGTCTCACAAAGACATGGCTGTTGGAACCAAAAATCTCAAATTTGGACTCCAGACCAAAGGACACATTTCCACCGGTCTAATGTCCATTGCTCGTGTTTCTTGGCCCAAACAGGTCTCTTCTTCTTATTGGTGTCCTTTAGTAGTGGTTTCTTTGCAGCAATTCAATCATGAAGGCCTGATTCACACAGTCCCCTCTGAACAGTTGATGTTGATATGTGTCTGTGACTTGAACTCTGTGAAGCATTTATTTGGGCTGCACTTTCTGAGGCTCTAATGAACTTATCCTCTGCAGCAGAGGTAACTCTGGGTCTTCCATTCCTGTGGCGGTCCTCATGAGAGCCAGTTTCATCATAGGGCTTGATGGTTTTTGCGACTGCACTTGAAGAAACATTCAAAGTTCTTGAAATGTTCCGTATTGACTGACCTTCATGTCTTAAAGTAATGATGGACTGTCATTTCTCTTTGCTTATTTGAGCTGTTCTTGCTATAATATGGACTTGGTCTTTTACCAAATAGGGCTATCTTCTGTATACCCCCCTACCTTGTCACAACACAACTGATTGGCTCAAATGCATTAAGAAGGAAATAAATTCCACAAATTAACTTTTAAGAAGACTCACCTGTTAATTGAAATGCATTCCAGGTGACTACCTCATGAAGCTGGTTGAGAGAATGCCAAGAGTGTGCAAAGCTGTCACCAAGGCAAAGGGTGGCTATTTGAAGAATCTTAAATATAAAATATATTTGGATTTGTTTAACACTTTTTTGGTTACTACATGATTCCATATGTGTTATTTAATAGTTTTGATGTCTTCACTATTATTCTACAATGTAAAAAATATTTAAAAAATTAAGAAAAACCCTTGAATGAGTAGGTGTGTTCTAAAACCTTTGACTGGTACTGTAGGTAGAAGCTACCGAATGTAATTTTTGATGAGATTGGACATTTACAAAAGAACGTGAACGAGAGACATAGTGCAAATGAACAATGTTTTGACACATGCAGTGCTGGCTCTGGAGCAGCTGTATCTGTGTGGAGTCGCTAGGACAACGGGCCTGCCTGCCCTGGAGTCGCTAGGGCAACGGGCCTGCCTGCCCTGGAGTCGCTAGGGCAACGGGCCTGCATGCCCTGGAGTTGCTAGGGCAACGGGCCTGCCTGCCCTGGAGTCGCTAGGGCAACGGGCCTGCCTGCCCTGAGAAAGAGAAGGTGGGGGGAGGAGCAGACTGGCAGAGTAAGTAGAGTAGAAAACACACAAGGAACTCAAGACAGCAGAAGCAGCTGTGCAGATTTCTCAAACAGGCAGAAAGCAAACCCAATATGATGCCCAGTCACCTTATTAATTCAGCCACTTACTGATATAACTAGCAAGTTAAACTTAGGGGTCGCGTTAACGCATAAGTATGCTTTTTTTCACACAGGAAAAAAAAAACGGCGAAGGGAGTTCCCTGGACTAGAGGGAGTTACCATTAACCAATCATTTCCTTTTAAATCAAATCAAATCAAATCAAATCAAATTTTATTGGTCACATGCGCCGAATACAACAGGTGCAGACATTACAGTGAAATGCTTACTTACAGCCCTTAACCAACAGTGCATTTATTTTTAACAAAAAAAGTAAAAATAAAACAACAACAAAAAAAGTGTTGAGAAAAAAAGAGCAGAAGTAAAATAAAGTAACAGTAGGGAGGCTATATACAGGGGGGTACCGTTGCAGAGTCAATGTGCGGGGGCACCGGCTAGTTGAGATAGTTGAAGTAATATGTACATGTGGGTAGAGTTAAAGTGACTATGCATAAATACTTAACAGAAGGGAAGGGAAGTGAACAAGTGCACACTCCGGGATAAATGAGAGATGATTGGCTAATGGAAACTCCTTCTAGCCCACGCCTACACCAATCCAATGCGTTTACATTTGTAGGGAGTAGTGAACGAGTGCACACTTCAGGAGGAAGGAGAGATTATTGGGACGCGCCCCATAAATCCAGCGCTCTCCGTGGTTCTGAAGCCTTACAGGTTTCGGGTTGGAGCGCTGCGGCGCACGGCCTGCGGTACCGAACACCTGGTGCTGAGCGGACAGCTGGGGGGGGGGCCTTCTCCTAATAAATTACTTCCTGAATGCTGTGCCACACCCAGTCAGTCAGAATACAACAGTCCAGTCATCACAAACAGGCGTTAATAATTCATTACATTGAGTCATTTCAGGAGGCTATTGTTTTAGGTCTGGTTTAAACAAGGGGAGAAGAATCCAAGCAGAACGGATTTCCTAACCGTTTTTTTTAGAACGGTATAACCAGACCCGTCGCCAGACCTCAGTCTTAAGGGGGGCATATGAAATGCATGGGAGGGCAGGGCACAATTATTATTAGCCTACAGTACGTATATTTAATAATAAATTCCCTCAAGTGGGGGGGGGGCACAAGCATTTTGGGGGGCGGGCCCGGCCCCCTATGGCCCGCCCATAGTGACGGGTGTGACTATAACCTGACGTTTTCAAACATTCAATGGAAGAAAAACAATGTGAAGTCTTCGTTTATAATTATGCTTCAGATGAAGGGAGTAGACTGGTTAATTAAAATAACGGCGCTAGGACCCGGAAAGAACCCGTTTCCGACTCTCCTCCTCCTCCTCCTCCTGCCGGGGAGCACGCGCGAGACGTTTGGGTCCACCGGTCACCTGCTCGAGGAGCTCGCTATCCCTTCATACTAGCACAGCACCGGGGAGAAAAGAGGACGGATGTGATTATCACGTAGGACGCTCTTTGTCTTTGTCTTTGTCTCTGTCTCTGTCTCTGTCTCTCCGCAGCCATGCTGTCTCGCGACTGTAGCAGCCGCTGCCGTCCGGCACCGATCGAGCGTGTGCAGAACGTAGAAATTGTCGCACGCCCGGAATGAAATTTAAAAACACTGTGATAGTTGGTTGGTGAGGTTTCTGCTTCCTAAATTTGGATTATTCGGGATTCCTGGATTCCTTTTTTTTTTTTTACACTCGCGAATCCCAGGAATATCTAACCAGACGTGACAGAGCGAGCCCATAGCAACCGATTCCCACCGTGAAGACACATCAGATGTTTATCTGGTCCAAGACCAAGTGAACGGCTTTTATTCATCTATTCTAGTTAAACATAGAATTATCTGACGGAGAACAATGTCCAAGGCTGCAACGTTTAATTATACAATAACCTACAATTTCTCCATTTAACCTACAAAGAACTAGCCTATGTGGGTAGGGATATGCACTATAAGGTAGTAGATTAATATAACGTTAGAAAAGAGCCTGCACCGTTTCTTCAGCATCACGCTACAATAGACTGAACAGATGATAACGATGGTGCACTTAAGCTACAGTAAGATGCTGGTGTGACGTTGCTTTATCCCTGATTCTCTCTGTATGCACCATATCGTCACTGCCCAGCCCAGCGGCAGACAGACAGACAGGCAGACAGGCAGGCAGGACAGGCAGACAGACAGGCAGGCAGGCAGACAGACAGACAGACAGATAGACAGGCAGGCAGACAGACAGACAGACAGACAGACAGGCAGACAGACAGACAGACATACAGACAGAGGAGGGCTGGACCGCTATTGGCTACGGTAAAACCGGCAAGTAGCATCAGCATCGTTGTGTTAACAAGAAACCGGGGAATCGCTTGGATTAGGCTACATCTCCTGGTCTGCCCGGCGTAACCTACCATAAGGGGACGTAGACTTGATCGATGAAGAGTCGTGATTATCGTTAACAGATGGACGGTTAGGCTGCTGTCGACCACTCTCTGGATCCCTTTTCATTTTACCAACATCCTGATGATGAGAACTTAAATAAAAAGATTCGGTAAAACCGGGGAGAAAGAACCGTTTGAGTCTGTGTGAATCCCATTAGTTGACGGTGGCCGCCATGTCTCTGAACAAGACTATCGAGCTGGAACATTTCGACGAACGGGACAAGGCTCGTCGTGGCCGGTCAACGCGCTCCGCTGGCGCTTCTACCGGCGGGGGGTCTGGTTCGAGAGGTAGCAGCCTGGTGCCGAGCCCCGCGCACAGCGCCAACTGTAGCTACTACCGAACGCGCACGCTGCAGACTCTCACCTCGGAGAAGCGTGCCAAGAAGGTCCGATTCTACCGGAACGGGGACAGGTATTTCAAAGGGCTGGTGTATGCGGTGTCTAACGACAGGTGCCGGTCTTACGATGCGTTGCTGATGGAGCTGACCCGGTCCCTGGCGGACAACCTGCACCTGCCACAGGGCGTGCGCGCCATCTATACGGTGGAAGGGACCAAGAAGATCACGTCTATGGATGAACTGGTGGAGGGTAAGGGTGTGTGTGTGTGTGTGTGTGTGTGTGTGTGTGTGTGTGTGTGTGTGTGTGTGTGTGTCCATCACATCTAAAAGTCTCACCTGAATTCGTATTTATCATTTATTTTCCCGCAGAATGAGACAAATTCCTCTGCTATATACAGTACCAGTCAAAGGTTTGGACACACCTACTCATTCAAGGGTTTTTATTTTATTTGTACTATTTTCTACATTGTAGAGTAATAGTGAAGACATCACAAGAAATAACACACATGGAATCATGTAGTTACCAAAATATATTTTATATTTGAGATTCTTCAAAGTAGCCACCCTTTGCCTTGATGACAGCTTTGCACACTCTTGGCATTCTCTCAACCAGCTTAGTGAGGAATGCTTTCCCAACAGTCTTGAAGGAGTTCCCACATATGCTGAGCACTTGTTGGCTGCTTTTCCTTCACTCCTGCGGTCCAACTCATCCCAAACCATCTCAATTGGGTTGAGGTCGGGTGATTGTGGAGGCGAGGTCATCTGATGCAGCACTCCAGCACTCATCACCCGTCTTGCTAAAAGAGCCCATACACAGCCTGGAGGTGTGTTGGGTCATTGTCCTGTTGAAAAACAAATGATAGTGCCACTAAGCCCAAACCAGATGGGGTGGCGTATCGCTGGTTAAGTGTGCCTTGAATTCTAAATAAATCACAGACAGTGTCGCCGGTTTTTAAGTAATCTCCCGACATCCTTGGTACCTGAACAACCAGGCTGCATGCACCCCCCCCCCCCCCCCCACACACAAACACAGCCCCATGGGTAATCATGGAAAGTTCCCTGGAAATGGAAAAACATTGGCTACCGTTAATAGAACAGTCTTTTGTTCCATTAACGGTAGCTCTAGCCGGTGAACGTGAGGGAGCCAGTCAGAATGTAGAGTAGAGTACCGGTAAGTGCTGCTGTTACCGGGTCAATGAGGGGGTGGGGTTTGGAGAGCGACTGGCAGTATAGGTTAGATAAGGTTAGAATGATAATAGACTGACATGCCCTGTCTGGGTCTCAGTGTTAAGGCCACTCTGGCTGTATATCAATAGTCTAAAGAAGCCTCCTCCTCTCCTCTCCTTCCTCTCAATAGTCTAAAGAAGCCTCCTCTCCTCTCCTCTCCTCCTCTCCTCTCCTCTCCTCTCCTCTCCTCTCCTCTCTCCTCTCCTTCCTCTCAATAGTCTAAAGAAGCCTCCTCTCCTCTCCTCTCCTCTCCTCTCCTCTCCTCTCCTCTCCTCTCCTCTCCTCTCCTCTCCTCTCCTCTCCTCTCCTCTCCTCTCCTCTCCTCTCCTCTCCCCTCTCCCCTCTCCTCTCCTCTCCTCTCCTCTCCCTCTCCTCTCCTCTCCTCTCCTCTCCTCTCCTCTCCTCTCCTCTCAGGTTTTGATAACACTGTGTTTGACCTTGGTACTGGGTGACATTGGAGGATAGATAGTGAATAAAACTCTGCCAGTGTAGAGTGTGTGTGTGTGCGTGTGCGTGGTGTGCGTGTGCGTGGTGTGTGTGTTACAGTACAATTTGCATAAGGTAATGATAGAGCTAGTCCTGCACATTGGGTCATTTTTGCATAATCCTCTCCTGTCACTGTTCCCACAGGAACCTACGTTTAGTTTAATCAGACATTATGTTCTCTTATTATTTTGGGTCTTTTAGAATAATTGCTTTATGACAAAAAATTGCCTCACCCCTTGAATTCCAGTGAACTTTTGGGTACATCTACTGAGACAGTTACTGATAAGGAGGAGGGGGCTTCTTTAGACTATTGAGATAGAGGAGAGGAGAGGAGAGGAGAGGAGGAGGGGAGAGGAGAGGAGAGGAGAGAGAGGAGAGGAAGGAGAGGAGGGAGGAGTTAGGGAGGTCTCTTCGAGCGGAGAGGAGGGAGAGTTTCTCTGAGACGGGGGTTCTAGATCTTGAGAGGTGGGAGATAGAGAGAGAGAAGAGGAGCTTCTTTTGTAGATCTTGGATTTTTTTCTTGCTTTCCCAGAGGGAGGGGGGCGAATTGTGAAGGCGGAGAGGAAGAGTGTGTGCAGATATTCCTTTTAAGGTAGCGGTGGTGTTGCACTACAGAGGTGAGCACTCCAAAGAGATGCAGTCCCCTCCTAAAACAGAGGTTGGTATGATAAATAGAAGTGATGAAGCCTGACCTGACATCAGAAATGGCACCCTCTCCCCTTTATAGTGCACTACTTTTGACCAGAGCCTTATGGGCCCTCGGTCAGTAGAGCACTATGTAGGGCACCATGTAGGGATGCAACCGTCTCTTCTGCTCTGATACACACGCTGTCTGCGGTGTGACCTCTGACCTCTGAGTTTGACATGCAATACTGCCTCACTGTATCACATGAAAGACGTCTAGTCATGTTCTGAAGAAATAGAGGTTGTCAAGAGTAATGGTATCCTAAAGTATTGAACTGGGACTGATGTATTCATGTTGGCTCTCCCTCCCGCCCGCCCTCCCGCCCTCCCGCCCGCCCTCCCTCCCTCCCTCCCTCCCTCCCTCCCTCCCTCCCTCCCTCCCTCCCTCCCTCCCTCCCCCCAGGTGAGTGTTACGTGTGTGCGTCCAACGAGCCCTATCGTAAACTGGACTACACCAAGATCAACAACCCAAACTGGAAACCTGGTGCTACCACTGGCACCTCTACCGGTTCCTCTACCGGTTCCTCTACTGCTACCTCCACCGGGACAAGGTCAGGGTCTGGTCCAGGCCCCAGCGGTCAACAGGTGGTCAGTCAGTCGGACCTTAGGGAACAGAGAGAGAGTAAAGACTTTATAAAGCCTAAGCTGGTCACAGTGATCCGCAGTGGAGTGAAGCCGAGGAAAGCAGTGAGGATCCTATTGAACAAGAAGACGGCACATTCCTTTGACCAGGTTCTGGAGGATATTACTGAAGCTATCAAACTGGACTCTGGTGCCGTGAAGAGACTTTATACACTGGACGGGAAGCAGGTAGGACAGAGAGGGAGTGTGTGTGTGTGTGTTCAGTGTGTGTGTGTTCAGTGTGTGTGTGTTCAGTGTGTGTGTTCAGTGTGTGTGTGTTCAGAGACAGAGAGATGTATTTATCTGTGTCAATAAGCATTAGAGACAGGATAGATGTATTTATCTGTGTCAGTAAGCATTAGAGAGAGACAGAGAGACAGATAGATGTATTTATCTGTGTCAATAAGCATTAGAGAGAGACAGAGAAATGTATTTATTTGTGTCAATAAGCATTATAGAGAAACAGGGAGATGTATTTATTTGTGTCAAAAAGCTTATAGAGAGACAGAGAGATGGTATTTATCTGTGTCAATAAGCATTAGAGAGAGACAGAGAGATGTATTTATCTGTGTCAATAGCATTAGAGACAGGATAGATGTATTTATCTGTGGTCATAAGCATTCGAGAGAGACAGAGAGATGTATTTATCTGTGTCAATAAGCATTAGAGACATGATAGATGTATTTATTTGTGTCAATAAGCATTATAGAGAGACAGAGATGTATTTATCTGTGTCAATAAGCATTAGAAAGAGACAGAGAGATGTATTTATCTGTGTCAATAAGCATTAGAGACAGGATAGATGTATTTATCTGTGTCAATAAGCATTAGAGACAGGATAGATGTATTTATCTGTGTCAATAGCATTAGAGAGAGACAGAGAGATGTATTTATCTGTGTCAATAGCATTAGAGAGAGACGGGGAGATGTATTTATCTGTTCATAAGCATTTGAGAGACAGTGAAAGTAGATGTATTTACTGTGTCAGTAATCATTATAGAGAGACAGAGAGATGTATTTACTGTGTCAATAAGATTATAGAGAGACAAGAGAGTGTGTGTTTTGTGTCATAGCATAGAGAGATAGAGTGTGTTAGTTGTGTAATGTTTCAGGGGATGTTTTCTTGTGTTGCGTTAGAGGGCAGAGAGATGTATTTATCTGGTGTCAATAAGCATTAGAGACAGGGTAGATGTATTTATCTGTGTCAGTAAGCATTAGAGAGAGACAGAGAGAAGATAGAGTATTTATCTGTGTCAATAAGCATTAGAGAGAGACAGAGAAATGTATTTATTTGTGTCAATAAGCATTATAGAGAAACAGGGAGATGTATTTACTTGTGTCAATAAGCATTATAGAGAGACAGAGAGATGTATTTATCTGTGTCAATAAGCATTAGAGAGAGACAGAGAGATGTATTTATCTGTGTCAATAGCATTAGAGAGACAGAGATGTATTTATCTGTGTCAATAAGCATTAGAGAGAGACAGAGAGATGTATGTTATCTGTGTCAATAAGCATTAGAGAAGACAGAAGATGTATTTATTCTGTGTCAATAAGCATTAAGAGAGAACAGAGAGATGTATTTATCGTGTCAATAAGCATTAGAGAGGACCAGAGAGAAATGTATTTATCGGTGTGCAATAAGCATTAGAGAGAGACAGAGATATGTATTTATCTGTGTCAATAAGCATTAGAGAGAGACAGATAGAATGTATTTATCTGTGTCAATAAGCATTAGAGACAGGATAGATGTATTTATCTGTGTCAATAAGCATTAGAGAGAGACAGAGAGATGTATTTATCTGTGTCAATAAGCATTAGAAGAGACAGAGAGATGTATTTATCTTTGTGTCAATAAGCATTAGAGAGACAGGAGATGTATTATCCGTGTCAATAAGCATTAGAGAGAGACAGAGAGATGTATTATCTGTGTCAATAAGCATATAGAGACAAGTAGATGTATTATCGTGTCAGTATCATTATAGAGAGACAGAAGAAAATGTATTTATCTGTGTCAATAAGCATTATAGAGAGACAGAGGAAGGTGTATTTATCTGTGTCAATAAGCATGAGAGAGAGACAGAGAAATGTATTTATTTGTGTCAATAAGCATTATAGAGAAACAGGGAGATGTATTTACTTGTGTCAATAAGCATTATAGAGAGACAGAGAGATGTATTTATCGGTGTCAATAAGCATTAGAGAGAGACAGAGAGATGTATTTATCTGTGTCAATAAGCATTAGAGAGAGACAGAGAGATGTATTTATCTGTGTCAGTAAGCATTAGAGAGAGACAGAGAGATGTATTTATCTGTGTCAATAAGCATTAGAGAGAGACAGAGAGATGTATTTATCTGTGTCAATAAGCATTAGAGAGAGACAGAGAGATGTATTTATCTGTGTCAATAAGCATTAGAGAGAGACAGAGAGATGTATTTATCTGTGTCAATAAGCATTATAGAGAGACAGAGAGATGTATTTATCTGTGTCAATAAGCATTAGAGAGATAGAGAAACAGAGAGATGTATTTATCTGTGTCAATAAGCATTATAGAGAGACAGAGAGATGTATTTATCTGTGTCAATAAGCATTATAGAGAGACAGAGAGATGTATTTATCTGTGTCAATAAGCATTAGAGAGAGACAGAGAGATGTATTTATCTGTGTCAATAAGCATTATAGAGAGACAGAGAGATGTATTTATCTGTGTCAATAAGCATTAGAGACAGGATAGATGTATTTATCTGTGTCAATAAGCATGAGAGAGAGACAGAGAGATGTATTTATCTGTGTCAATAAGCATTAGAGAGAGACAGAGAGATGTATTTATCTGTTTCAATAAGCATTATAGAGAGACAGAGAGATGTATTTATCTGTTTCAATAAGCATTAGAGAGAGACAGAGAGATGTATTTATCTGTTTCAATAAGCATTAGATACAGAGAGACGTATTTATCTGTGTCAGTAAGCATTATAGAGAGACAGAGAGACAGATAGATGTATTTATCTGTGTCAATAAGCATGAGAGAGAGACAGAGAGATGTATTCATCTGTGTCAATACGCATTAGAGAGAGACGGAGAGATGTATTTATCTGTGTCAATAAGCATTATAGAGAGACAGAGAGATGTATTTATCTGTGTCAATAAGCATTAGAGACAGGATAGATGTACAGTGGGGAAAAAAAGTATTTAGTCAGCCACCAATTGTGCAAGTTCTCCCACTTAAAAAGATGAGAGAGGCCTGTAATTTTCATCATAGGTACACGTCAACTATGACAGACAAAATGAGGAAAGAAAAATCCAGAAAATCACATTGTAGGATTTTTAATGAATTTATTTGCAAATTATGGTGGAAAATAAGTATTTGGTCAATAACAAAAGTTTCTCAATACTTTGTTATATACCCTTTGTTGGCAATGACACAGGTCAAACGTTTTCTGTAAGTCTTCACAAGGTTTTCACACACTGTTGCTGGTATTTTGGCCCATTCCTCCATGCAGATCTCCTCTAGAGCAGTGATGTTTTGGGGCTGTCGCTGAGCAACACAGACTTTCAACTCCCTCCAAAGATTTTCTATGGGGTTGAGATCTGGAGACTGGCTAGGCCACTCCAGGACCTTGAAATGCTTCTTACGAAGCCACTCCTTCGTTGCCCGGGCGGTGTGTTTGGGATCATTGTCATGCTGAAAGACCCAACCACATTTCATCTTCAATGCCCTTGCTGATGGAAGGAGGTTTTCACTCAAAATCTCACGATACATGGCCCCATTCATTCTTTCCTTTACACGGATCAGTCGTCCTGGTCCCTTTGCAGAAAAACAGCCCCAAAACATGATGTTTCCACCCCCATGCTTCACAGTAGGTATGGTGTTCTTTGGATGCAACTCAGCATTCTTTGTCCTCCAAACACGACGAGTTGAGTTTTTACCAAAAAGTTCTATTTTGGTTTCATCTGACCATATGACATTCTCCCAATCCTCTTCTGGATCATCCAAATGCACTCTAGCAAACTTCAGACGGGCCTGGACATGTACTGGCTTAAGCAAGGGGACACGTCTGGCACTGCAGGATTTAAGTCCCTGGCGGCGTAGTGTGTTACTGATGGTAGGCTTTGTTACTTTGGTCCCAGCTCTCTGCAGGTCATTCACTAGGTTCCCCCGTGTGGTTCTGGGATTTTTGGTCACCGTTCTTGTGATAATTTTGACCCCACGGGGTGAGATCTTGCGTGGAGCCCCAGATCGAGGGAGATTATCAGTGGTCTTGTATGTCTTCCATTTCCTAATAATTGCTCCCACAGTTGATTTCTTCAAACCAAGCTGCTTACCTATTGCAGATTCAGTCTTTCCAGCCTGGTGCAGGTCTACAATTTTGTTTCTGGTGTCCTTTGACAGCTCTTTGGTCTTGGCCATAGTGGAGTTTGGAGTGTGACTGTTTGAGGTTGTGGACAGGTGTCTTTTATACTGATAACAAGTTCAAACAGGTGCCATTAATACAGGTAACGAGTGGAGGACAGAGGAGCCTCTTAAAGAAGAAGTTACAGGTCTGTGAGAGCCAGAAATCTTGCTTGTTTGTAGGTGACCAAATACTTATTTTCCACCATAATTTGCAAATAAATTCATAAAAAATCCTACAATGTGATTTTCTGGATTTTTTTCCCTCATTTTGTCTGTCATAGTTGATGTGTACCTATGATGAAAATGACAGGCTTCTCTCATCTTTTTAAGTGGGAGAACTTGCACAATTGGTGGCTGACTAAATACTTTTTTCCCCCACTGTATGTATCTGTGTCAATAAGCATTAGAGAGAGACAGAGAGATGTATTTATCTGTGTCAATAAGCATTAGAGACAGGATAGATGTATTTATCTGTGTCAATAAGCATTAGAGAGAGACAGAGAGATGTATTTATCTGTGTCAATAAGCATTAGAGAGAGACAGAGAGATGTATGTATCTGTGTCAATAAGCATGAGAGAGAGACAGAGAGATGTATTTATCTGTGTCAGTAAGCATTATAGAGAGACAGAGAGACAGAGAGATGTATTTATCTGTGTCAATACGCATTAGAGAGAGATGGAGAGACAGAGAAATGTATTTATCTGTGTCAATTAGAATTAGAGCGAGACAGAGAGATGTATTTATCTGTGTCAATAAGCATTAGAGAGAGACAGGGATATGTATTTATCTGTGTCAATAAGCATTATATATAGACAGAGATATGTATTTATCTGTGTCAATAAGCATTAGAGAGAGACAGAGAGATGTATTTATCTGTGTCAATAAGCATTATAGAGAGACAGAGAGATGTATTTATCTGTGTCAATAAGCATTAGAGAGAGACAGAGAGATGTATTTATCTGTGTCAATAAGCATTATAGAGAGACAGAGAGATGTATTTATCTGTGTCAATAAGCAT